TTAAAGTATTGTTTTAGAAAAAAATTTCATTAAAATACTTCAAAGTAAAAAAAGGGGGGGGCTGTATGTTAGGAAATGTTAATACATAAAGCACATAACATCCTAATTTTGGATGGGTATATTTTAGGATAAGGTAAGTTTCTAGTAATAAACTTGAGTTCATTTAGTAGAACTTGCTATAAAGATAGAAGAAAACCAGAGATTCACCAGAATGAGTCTTATTGTAAGTTCATGTACACTTCCCCTCCCTCAAAAAAACTTACAAAAATGCTATTCCAGAAAAATTAAGTATAGCATTAGCATTTTTTTTAAAGTTTGGTTAGTAACTCAGTAAGCTCTTTCTTAATAAATTTTCAGTTATTTATCTAAAATGGCCACACAAAGGCAAATGACAAAATGATTTATGTTTTAGTTCTTCCTATTCTGAATACACCCAAGGATTTCAAGGCGGTTTACCAGGCTTTCTGCGTTAAGTACAATAAAATAAGCATGTGCATAGAAATCTCAGCACTACAAACAACATATGAATTGGGATTTTGTATAGAAGTTCAAATTGAAATGCTTATCAATCTACAGGTAACGTGTAAGAAATTTGCTCCTTACTTTATAACTTTAGAATTCCATTTATCCAGATACCACAGAGCAAAATACTATCTGTGCTAGGCCTCAAATACAATAGGTGCTTAATAAATATTTGTCTATCATGTTTTCCTTGATCCTATCCCATAATATAAGTCTGACTAGCTCCAGTGTCAGTAACAAGGCAATCTTGAAGGTAGGTCCCCAGGCCCTGGGAGCCATTGTTCCAATTTCTATTTTAACTTTATCCTTATCTTACCTGAAGCTCTAGACCTGTGGTTCTCAACCTTCCTAATGCCAGGACCCTTTAATACAGATCCTCATGTTGTAGCAACCCCCAATCATAAAATTATTTTTGTTGCTACTTCATAACTGTAATTTTGCTACTGTTATCTTAGGCAACTCCTATGAAAGGGTCGTTCAACCCCCCCAAAGGGGTCGCAGCCCACAAGTTGAGAACCGCTGCTCTAGACAATGAATTCGTTTAACTCCCCTCATTCTGATTCACCCTTATAATTATGTCTCAATATCCCACATGGGTCTGTCTAGAGAAGACTTTGCTAGCCACTGTTGCAAGTTTTACACCTATAAATTGGCATCCATTTTCATACATTAGTTTTATTACCTTGGTTTTGGTGATCCACCCCAAGAAACTGATGTGCTCTCCATTTGCTGATGAAATATGTTTCCAAGCCTGTAGTCCTGCAAATCAAACTCTGGACTATATAGTACATTCTCCCACATTCCCACATAATGCAACCTCCCGAGGCCTCTTGGGAAGCAGCCAAATGACTCGCCAGACAACACCCCTTTTCATTGATGAGAGGCCAAGGGAACTATTTCCCCCTTTATAAAGTTTCTAGCCCTTGACTGGTTCAACTCAGCAGTTAGAGCGTCAGTCCTTGAACCGAAGGGTCTCAGGTTCGATTCCGGTCAAGGGTACACACCGGGCTTTCAGGTTCATGAGGCAATCAATTGATGTGTCTCTCTCACATAAATGTTTCTCTCTCTCTCTCCCCCTCCCACTCTCTCTTAAAAAAAAAAAATCAATGGAAAAATATCCTCGAGTGAGGATTAACAACAAAAATTTCTACACTTAGAGTTAATATTACAGTTTTTATTTAAGACCAGTTTAAATACAATAAAACCAACACTTTCAAGTGAATCATAGATATGTATTAGACATTCTGCTTGAGCATCTAACAAACACGCTAGTAGAAAAATAAAAGGTACGATTATTTTTTCTTTTTTAAATAGACAGCTCCACTTAAAACAAAATCTGGGAGGGGAGCTATTATGGATTTTTAAAAATGTAGACATATTGCCTGGCTGGTGTGGCTCAGTGGTTGAGCATCAACCCATGCACCAAGAGGTCTCTGGTTCAATTCCCGTTCAGGGCACATGGCCAGGTTGTGGGCCAAATCCCCAGTGAGGGCCATGCAGTAGGTGGCCAACTGATGTTCTCTCTCATCAATGTTTCTATTTCTCTCTCCCTCTCCTCTCTCTCTAAAATCAATAAAGAAAAAGATTTTTTTAAATAAATAAAAATAAAAATTTAGACATACTGACCAAATGCGGTGACACCTTGTTTAAGAGCCTTTTCCAAACAAACTGTGTTAGGCAGTATAATAGCCACCCACCCCCCCCCCCGAAAGATGTCACGTCCTTATTCCCAGGACCTGCGTATTACCCTACATTTGTAAAAGAGACTTGCTAGTGTGATTAAGTTAAAGGGCCTTGAAATGGGGAATTAGTCTGGGTTACCCAGGTGGGTCCATTATAATCACATGGGTCCTTAAAAACAGAAAACCTTGCCCAGCTGGGGTTAGAGGGAGCTATGACTACGGAAGAAGGGACAGAGAGATGCAACAGGGCTAGTTCTAAAGATGCGAGTGGACCATGAGCCAAGGAATGCTGCCTCTAGAAAGTAAGAGGCAAAAAAGCAGTTTATTTCCTAGACTATCCAGAAAGGAATGTGGCCCTATTGGTACCTTGATTTTAGCCTAGTGAGGGCCATGTCAGACTTCCAACCTGGAGAACTGGTAAGATAATGATTTTAAGTCACTGAATTTGCAGTAACTTGTTATAGCAGCAATAAATACTAATACACAAACTCAAAAAGATACTTTGAAACAAATCAAGAGATATAAGCAGGGGTTGGGTATTAAATGGAACGTTAAGGAATTAGTGTTCATTTTTATTAGGGTATAATAATATTTGAACTACCTTTTAAAACTTTTTGTTCAAGATACATACTGAAGTATTTATAGATGAAATGATATAGTTTCTGAAGTTTGCTTTAAAATACTGCCCCTCTCCCGCCTAAAAACAGTGGGAGAATAGGTAAAACATTACATTAGCAAAAGGCTGGCTAGCTGTCGAAGGTACTCATGATACTATCCTCTTATTGTATATACTTGAGATTTTCCATTGTAAGTTAAAAAACAAAAAGTGAAGTAACTGAGGAGAGACCACCTGAACACTATAGATCAGCACTGTCCAAAGTAATTTTGTGATTATGGAAATGTTATTTATCAGCACTGTTCAATGCAGTAGCCACTACTCATGGGACTACTGAGCACCTGAAATATACCTAGTGCAATAGAAAAATTTTAATTTGATTTCATTTTAATTAGCTAAATAGCCTGATGTAGCTAGTAGCTACCATATTACACAGTGCAGCTCTAGATACTGGAAGAGAGCCATGATGCTTTAATATCAGGATTCAGTTAATAAGCTCATGAATCCAGACAGTGCACATGTTATTTCCGTCCATCCAGCCTCTTTTCTTTTCCTGCTAATAGCGGTACCCAGCTTCCCCTATCAACTCCAAGCTCTTCACCAGAGGTAGGGTTTACAATCCAGGCTATAGTACAGCTTCTTCCTGGCCACAGGGATTGGTCCAAGAATAACCAAAGCCAGGGCAATCATGATCCTTGCTTGGAATTCTCTGTGCCAGGAAGTGAAGCAGCTTCCTCGATTAGGAGTTATATGGATGGAACCCTAGAGCTCCTAGCCATCATCATGTTTCCTTGATACACTGAGGTTTCTGAGAGAGTCGAGCCAAAATTTAGATAGATGGACAGAGTCTGGATTCTCAAGTTCTTCTTTCCCTTGTTTTGGTTAGATAGGCCAATAATTTCCTCTTTTTTGCTTATGTTATTTTTGAGTTAAATTCTATCACTTGCAACCTTAAAAAGTCTTAATACAAAATCCCATTAAAAAAAACTTAGCTTTGGCCAGTGTGGCTCAGCAGGTAGGGTGCTGTCCTGTGCGCTGAGACGGCCGGTTTGCTTCCCGGTCAGGAAACATGCCTGGGTTGCAGGCTAAATCCCTGGTAGTGGGCATGCAGCAGATCTTTCTCTCTCCCTGTCTCAAAAAAAAAGTCTTCTTACATGCTAGGGTCACTAGCAAAATAGTAAGACTAATGGCACTGCTATGTAGACGGAATGTGTCACCCAACATGTGTATGTTGAAGCCCTAACACCCCATCTGACTATATTGGAGATATGGCCTTTAAGGAGGTGATTAAGGTTAAATGAGGTCATAAGGGTGGAATCCTGATGTGACAGAAATGCTGCCCTTTTACGAAGAGGAAGAGACAGACAACAGAGCTCTCAGCCATGTAAGGACACAATGAAAAAGCAGCTATCTGCAATCCAGGAAGTCCTCACCAGAACCTGACCATGCTGGCACCAGGTCAGACTTTCAGCCTCCAGAACTGTGAGAAAATAAACCTGTTGTTTAAACCACGCAGTCTGACATGTGCTAGGGCAGCTTGGCAGAGTAATACAGGCACCCAGTACAACTGCCCAGGTCCTGGCTACTACCAGTTCCTTCTTCAGGTGAAGTAGACCCTGATGAGCAAAAACAGTGATATGCTAATAATTTAGCACTCTGCTCCCTTTCTTTCCATTGTTGAGAGTATTACAGATATTCCCCAATGGTCCCCCTTCTGCTCCCATTCTTGATTTCAGCTTAGACTGGGGTAGCTTTTCAACTGGTTTTTACTTTTTTAAATAACAAAAATATCAGCCCAGCTATCTTGAATCTCACTATCAATTCAAGTGCATTATAGTAATAATAAAGGAAAAGTTTTTAGTGAGATTAAGCACCTAGAAGTATTTATTTATTTATTTATTTATTTATTCCTCATCCGAGGACATTTTTCCATTTTTTGTTCAGATAGAGTAGGAGGGAGAGAGAAAGACAGAAACATCCAGGTGAAAGGGACACATCAAGTGGCTGCCACCTGTACGACGTAACCAGGGCCGGGGACAAACTGCAACCGAGGTACATGCCCTTAGTGGGAACCAAACCCCGGTCTCTCTGGACTGCAAGCCGACGCTTGAACTGCTGAGCCAAACCGGCCAGGGCTAGAATTATATTTTAAGTGGGAGAAAAAAGCTGATAAATCACACATAGTTAAATTAAAGTATTAATCTTTTTTAATTTTTCATACTTTAATCCTGTATAAATAGGTTAAGAAAGTTACATTTTCCTAAGTACTGGTTTATAGTGTTTAGAAGTGGCACATAAGACATTCAGTTTCACAAAGAGTAATATTCAGTGATCCCTCTAAATGCAATTTTAATCCTGATTTTTAGCTAAGTACAATAATAATTTAATACAATAAGGTAAATACACACAAAAACTGTATATCCTGATCTGCAAAAGTGGTTTCCGTAGCCATATATGGTTTTAGTCAAGTACACATTTCCACAATGAATAAGTACTAACAAATGTTAATTAAAACACCACCCAAATGCTTATCCTGCCGTCACCTTTTTAAGCAATCCATCCCTGCTACTAAAAGCATTTATTTTTATATAGAAGAGAAATCTAATATGGGAAAATCAATCTTCTTAAAATTTGAGAAATAGTATAATATAAGCCCAAAAGGTTTTAAATCAAAAAATCCTTCAACACAGAAGCATTCACATGAAACTTAGTTTCTCTCTCCTAAAAATCACTCTATCAAAAAGAAAAAATATTAAAACAAATTATTACCTTAAGACAGATAAACACTCCTACAAAAGACTGTATTTTCTTCTATCTTCTCCTTAACGGAAACACAAACAATTTCACTATCTTTTAATAACCTCCCAGATTACTGCAGTCTTAAAACTTAGAGTTATAGCTATCATGTCTTAGCTATCATAAAGCCAAAGGTGCCATTTAGATAGCACATATTAAACAGCATGGCCTGCAATGGCACAAATACATCTGATATATGAATACTACTCCACTGTTTAGATAGTCAAAGTCAGAAGATACTACATGGTTTGCAAGGTCCTTCAACTTACATGTGGTCATTAAAACCCAGTAAGTAATTCAGGGATGGTAGTATAATGGCAAGCAGTTAGACTCAAATATCACTCTGAAATCAAAGACATGAAAATAAAGGTGAGAAACTTTGTGCTTCTCCATCTTTCACTTACATGGCTAGTTATTAGGAACTTACTATGGAGAACACACGGTCATTATATATGGTCTCCCCAGAAGATAATAAAGCTTCAGAAAGTACAAAAGTCGTCAAGATCCATAGTTTGCTTCATCAAATGCCTTTCTAGCTCGTTTCAATTCTTCATTCATAGTAAGCAAGTCTTTAACCCTAGCAAATTTCCTTGGGTCCTTTCGAATCAAGAAGACGATATCTTCAACTTGTACTCTCCCTTGTCTTCCAATTGACATTGCCTTGTGAGTCTATTACAAAGAAACATTAAATTCAATTAATTTTTTAAAAATCTAATATTTTACTTTTAATTTGCATGTATTTAATACTGGTGAGTTTGAAGAATTTTCTGTTCTAACTATACATATTCATTTGTGAACTGTCTTCCTGTTCATGTCCTCTGTCCACTTTCTACTGGGTAATTAGCAATGTTTCTCTTAATGCCTTGTAGACATTTTTTAATATTAAGGACATCAAATCTATCAAGTTTATTGATGTTTCTTTTTTTTGATATTTGTAGTTTTTGTCTTCACTGTGTAAAATAATTTTGTAATTTGTAATCACGCATTTCATTTAAAATTTGTAGAATGTGCACACAGTGAATGTTTGTTAAAACTACACACAAGAAAGATACCAAAACTTTAAAATATAAAAACATAAAATAAAATAAAATTTGTGTCCATCTCAGTATTGGTGGGTTTTAAAACCCATCGAATCCCTATCATTATATATTTAACCTGTGGAAAAACAAAGGTTCATCATAGCATTATCTCCAATGACTAAAAAGAGAAACTAAATATTAAGGTTTTAAATGAATAAATTTGAGCACATCCATTCAATTAATGCTACGAAACCATTAAATACAAAAAGTATTTGCAATGACATAAGGAAAATATTCTAGGTTTACCTAAATGGAAAAAACAAAAACAAAAATAGATTATAAGACTTATATATATGATTTCAATTTTTATAAATTTTAAAGACAAAAGATTCACCAAAATCTTAGCATTAGTTGTCTCTATGTGTGCATACATATATTTATATATGTTCATATACATATATGTGTGTGTATATATATATAAACAAAATCTCCATTCTTAATGATAAATAACTTCCACAAAACAGGTACTCAAATGGATAGCTTATTTCTAAAGGATGCCACAGTTCATCTTATCTAAAAGAATTTCAAATCTGTTCCTCAGTTAACTAAGACCAATTACAAAAAAAAAAAAAACCTTACCATTTCAGTGATGAACTCTATAACAAGGTCTTCAAGAATATCCACTGACTCAGTATAAGGATTCTGGTCATCCCCAAACCCATACATCATACATCGTACTAGAAAAGAATAGTCATTCTTGTTAACTTGGACAAATTTAGCCAATACAAATTTTGACCAATACATTTTTTTCAAATTAGAATTAAACCAAGTTATAGAGTATATTGGTATAAAAATATATTTACATTGTACTTGTCTCCAAGTACGATTTTGGTGTAAAAGGTTTTTTATTCTTTTTTTTAATCCTCACCCAAGGATATTTTTCCATTTTCGTTCAGATAGAGTGGAGGGGGAGAGAAAAAGAAACATTAACGTGAGAGGGACATATCGAGTGGTTGCCTCCCATGCAACCCCAATCAGGACGGGGGACGAATCACAACCGAGGTACATGCCCTTGACCAGAATCAAATCTAAGACTCATTGGTCTGCGGGCGGATGCTCTAACCACTGAGCGAAACCAGCCAGGTGGTGTTAAAGGTTTTAACCACAAACCACAATCTCATAACCAACTTTCTCTACCTAATTGGTAGGAACTCCCCTTCCCTCCCAGCTACTGAGCCCTGACATCAATACTCTTTCCCTAACCTCTATCACCTACTCACCAGCCTTCCCACAATACCTCTAAATAGGCAGGGACAAGATGAGTAGCAACGAGCCTTTACTGAAGGGGGGGACTGGCCTGTCAGTGGAGCATTGGAAAACAGAAGACAAAATCCTTTCTGACATTACTCAGTAAGTAATTCAGGGATGGTAGTATAATGGCAAACAGTTAGAGACTCAAATATCACTCTGAAATCGAAGACATTAAAATAAAGGTGGGAAACTTTGTGCTTCTGGAGAAAAGGACATGAGAGAATGTGTTTTCCCAATTACCTTCTTATAGGAAGAATGGAGTAATCAAAAGAGATAGCAAAGGGCTTACTACAGAATCTTGACATATCTAGATCAATACAACTGCCAGCAAAGCCCTCTCAAGCTTCATCTGAAGGAACCAAAAAAATGCAAAAGAGAAATCTAATATAGAGTAATAAAAAAACTATTAACAATAGCTCTGCTGGTGTGGCTCAGAGGATTGAGCATCCCATGGACTGAGAGGTCCCAGTTTGATTCCTGGTCAGAGCACATGCCCGAGTTGCAGGCTGGACCCACCAGTAGGGGGCGTGCAGGAGGCAGCTGATGGATGTGTTCTCAAATGGATGTTCCTCTCTGTCCCTTCTTCTCTAAAAAAAAAAAAATTAATAAAAACCTATTTAAAAAATAAAAACTGTTAATAGCTAAAACTTACATAGCTTTTCACACATATAACTCATTTAATCCTCAAAACAATTTTTTCACCCTGGCCGGTTTTGCTCAGCAGTTAGAGCATCAGCCGGCAGTCCAGAGAGACCCAGGTTTGGTTCCCGCTAAGGGAGTGTACCTCGGTTGCAGCTTGTCCCTAGCCCTGGTTGGGCTGTGTGGGTGGCAGCCACTCGATGTGTCCCCTTCATGTCAATGTTTCTCTCTCTCCCTCCTACTCTATCTGAACAAAAAATGGAAAAATGACCTCGGGTGAGGATAAAAAAAACAAAACAAACCCAATTCTTTCAAGTAGATGCTATTATCCCTGTTCTATATAAATGAGAAAATTGAGGCACCAAGTTAAGTGATTTACCCAAAGTCACATAGATAGTAAGAGATGGTACCTGAACTTGAACTCAAATGATCTGGCTCCAGAGTCTATATTTCTACCAATAGTAGTATTATACTTCTTGGTAGTTTAGGGCAGTTGAGATCCATATGGATTGTTATCCTATAGTATAAAAACTCCCAATTAGTCCATGGACAAGCTCTTAAGTCCATGAGTCGTCCAAAAATTATATGCAAAAGTTTTATACATTATTTGTGTGTGTGCATTTTTCTGGGAAGAAAAATCAACTCCTATCAAATTATCAGAGGCATATAAATGTGAAAACGTTGTTATACATTGGAAATGTTTTTTTGTTTGTTTGTTTGTTTTTTATCCTCACCCCAGGACATTTTTTATTTTTTCCATTTTTTGTTCAGCTAGAGTGGGAGGGAGAGAGACGGGAAGGGAGAGGAACATCGCCGTGAAAGAGACACATCGAGTGGCCGGGAGAGACAGGGAAAGAGAGAGAAACATCGATGTGAAAGGGACACATCGAGTGGCTGCCACCCACACAACCAACCAGGGCCGGGGAAAAACTACAACCGAGGTTAGTGCCCTTAGTGGGAACCGAACCCAGTCTCTCTGGACTGCAGGCTGACACTCTAACCGCTGTGCCAAACTGGCCAGGGCTGAAAGTGTTTTTTATCTTAACCTGAGTGGTGGTTACAAGTGTATGTATACATGTAAAATTCATCAAGCTGTTCACCTAAGACTAGTACAATTTATTGTAAATTTTATATGGAAAAAAATTTTTAAAAAGAAAGGAACTAGAACACTTACCAAGGCAGGAATGAGTACATTAAAAATAATTCCTGCCCGGCCAGTGTGGCTCAGCGGCTGAGCATTGACCCATGCACCAAGAGTTCACCGGTTCAATTCACGGTCAGGGCACATGCCCAGGTTGTGGGCCTGATCCCCAGTTGGGGGCATGCAGGAGGTGGGCAATCAATGTTCTCTCTCATCAATGTTTCTATCTCTCTCTCCTCCCTTCTTCTCTCTCTAAAATCACAAAGAAAAAAGATAATAAATTTTCACCTAAGGATATTTTTTAAAAAAAAGAATAATTCCTATTGCTGGTGTGGCTCAGTGGCTAGAACATTGTCCCATGCACCGAGAGGTCACCAGTTCGATCCCCAGTCACGACCTGGGTTGCAGTTCCATTCCAGCCCTGGTCAGGGTTGTGCAGGAGGTAAACAATAGATGTCTCTCCCCACCTCACCCCTCCCTTCCACTCTATCTAAAAATAAATGGAAAAATATCCTTGAGGGAGGATTAACCAAAAAATTAATTAATTAATTAAAATAAAGCAATCCAAATAGAATAAATTTTTGCTAAGAATTGACTATGCAAGCATCACTCCAGGGTGCTCTGGTGTAGAAATCCCCATCATATGCTGACAAAAGAAGTAAATCCAGCCCTGGCTGGTTTGGCTCAGTGGTTAGAGCGTCCACCCATGAATCAGAGAGTCCCGGGTTCGGTTCCCTGTAAGGGCACGTACCTCGGTTGCAGTTCATCCCCGGCCCCGGTTGGGGTCATGTGGGTGGCAACCAGTCAATGTTTCTCTCTCTCTCTTCCTCCCTCTCTCCCTCCTGCTCTGTCTGAAGATAAATGCAAAAAATGTCCTCGGGTGGGGATAAAAAAAAAAAAAAAGGAAGTAAAACCACATACAAATGGAGTAAATGGCAACAGGGATGGAAAAGGAGCAGTCAGCTTTAGGTGAGAAATTGAGATATGTAGAAGAATTTGAGATTAAAAGCAAAAGACATACCCTGTAGTTTCAAGAGCCTCTGGGAACTGCTTACATCTGACTCAGCATAAATGAAACAGGTATTCATGTGTTGCCCCATCTGTCAAAACTCAGCCATAACTATATGTAAGAGACCAGAACTGGGAGATGGAGCACACATTCTTATAGTGCCTTTCAGGGTTTGGCCTGGACCAGTCCCTTGTGCTGCTGACAAAAAGGGTCAAACCTGTCTATTGAGGGAATAGAATAAAGATGGATACATTATATTCCCTATACTACCATAAGGCCCCACACTGTTCATCACCTTGCCGCCTTAGTCCAGAGCTCCAACTTAATTTTTACCCTCAGCACCTGTTCCAGGATTCATCCTAACTTTTGGCTTATAGTCAAAATAAGTCCTTGCTTCTACTGCTGCCAAGGTATGGGACCAAAAAGAAATGGAAGTATGTTCTTAGGCCCAGAATTGAAACACTGATCACATTTCCTCACTTAAAAAAAAAAAAGTGTGGCCCTGGCCAATGGGGCTCAGTTGGTAGAGCATCATCCAGCGCACCAAAAGGTTGCCAGTTTGATTCCAGGTCAGGACACATGCCCAGGTTGTGAGCCTGATCCCCAGTGGGGGCCATGCAGGAGGCCGCCAATTACTGTTCTCTCTCATCAATGTTTCTATCTTTCTCCCTCTCCCTTCCTCTCTCTCTAACATCAATAAAGGGGAAATATTTTTATAATAAAATCATTGTAAATGTTACTTACATTCTTTAGAAAAAAGTCTCTTTCTTTTACCCTGTCCACCTTCTGCACCTCCTCCAATTTCTTCATTTTCTTCCTCAAACTGGAAGTTAAAATGTATATAAAGAAATGTCAAGTAATTGCACTGCATTTGATTTTTTAGTAATTCACATTTCCCATTTTCAACATTGATATCATGCCAGAAAGCCTAAAGCAAGCAGCAAAAACTCATGAAACCATAGTATTTTAGGCCAACCTCCATCTCAAGAAAAAATGGCTTCTATAATGTCCTTAACAAATAATCTAATGACCATGTTTTTTTTAAACCAACTAAGTTGGCCTAGTGCTAGACAATTTTACTATTACAAGAGTTGGTTCTGAATCAAAGCAAGAAAAACGCTAAGTGCTGCTTACACAGTGCTAGGAACTCTCCTTAAGGAAGACTTAACCCCATTTTACAACATGAAAACCGAGGATCAAAGCTAAATAACTTGCTCACAAAGAACAGAAATTTTGAAACCCAGGTTCCGACTTGCGGTCCACACTGTACTGTAAGTACATAGTTTTGCTAGCAGTTGAACTGTTGGTTCACAGAGAGCCCTAACAAACGTTAGTTTTAACCTCTGATGATTCTCTAGGCGTTACGAAGGGTGTCTGGCAGATATGGACCAAAAGCAAAAAGCAAGGGTCCACATGGCCCCTCTCCCTTCACGTCCCGCCCCACGTACTAAAAAGATGAACAGAAGAGAAAGGCTAGCACAGCGTCCAGCCCCCGACCTCCCGGCTGAATTCACTAAGGAAAGCAGACAGACCCGATTCCGCACTTGGCCCTCGCTACTGTACCCGAGGGAGTGAAGAAAAGAGCGGGTTGGAACAGAGGTGGTCACTCACAGTGGGGTCCTCTTCCTCATCCGCCATCCCACCAGAGCCCACAGAGCCCGCCCGCCTCGCTCTGCGCGGGTTTTACTACTTCCGCTGCCTCACTTCCGGTGACGCGCAGGTTCGCGCGAGGCTGGGGCGGGGCCTCACCAGGCCAGCCCGCAAGGGTAATGCGTGTGACCCGCCTAGGGACGGAATCAGAATACTCTTTAAGGACATGGGGATGAGCTCGTGGCTCTGAAATCCCGAAGGAATTAAACTTGAGCAAAGAAAAGAAAGCCTAGGCGGCGTGTATCTCGTTGTCACCCTAAGTTTGCTTCTGCATATGGAGTCACCACTATCGGAATCGGGACTGCCAACCTGTGGCTGGATCATTGTGGGGCTAGCCAGTGAGTGGTCTTGAGCTGTCCCAAGGGTGTATTTAAACAATTTCAACAATTTAGAGTTCCACCGTTGTTTATGCCAAGCTCTGTGTTGTTTACTGGGAATACTGTTCTTCACTATTAGTTCTGAAGGGAGCGGTTCCACCACCTAGACTAAGGATTTAAACTTTTGTGGGGAGTTTTTGGGTCAGAAGAGTTGGGAAAACCACAGGCATTAGAAGTCTAAAGCTAGCCCTGACTGGGTAGCTCAGTTGATTAGAGCATCTTCTGGATATGCCAAGGTTGTGGATTTGATCCCTGGTCAAGGCATATATAAGAATCAACCAAGCCCGACAGGTGTGTCTCAGAGGTTGAGCATGGAATGCATCAAGAGGTCTCTGGTTCAATTCCAGTTCAGGGCACGTGCCCAGGATGTGGGCCAAATCCCCAGTTGGGGGGACATGCAGGAGGTGACCAATTGATGTTCTCTCTCACTGATGTTTCTCCCCCTCTCCCTTTCTCTCTCTAAAATCAATTTTAAAAAAAATTTTTAAGTCAATCAATGAATGCCTAAATAAGTGGAACAACAAACCGATGTTTCTCTCTCTCTCTAAAACCAATACATAAAACAATTTTTAAAAATAAATCTAGGGCAAAAACTAAAAGCATTTCCCTTAAGAACAGGAACAAGACAGGGATGCCCACTTTCGCCACTCTTATTTAACATAGTACTGGAAGTTTTAGCCACAGCAATCACACATGAGGAAAAAATAAAAGGGATCCAAATTGGAAAGGAGGAAGTGAAACTGTCATTATTTGCAGATGACATAATATTATACATAGAAAACTCTAAAGACTCCATCAAAAATCTACTAGATTTAACAAATGAATTTGGCAAAGTAGCAGGATACAAAATTAACGTCAAGAAATCAATGCATTCTTATACACCAATGATGAACTCACAGAAAGAGAAACTAAAAAACAATCCCATTTACCATCGCAGCAAAAAAAATTAAGATACCTAGGAATAAGCTTAACCAAAGAAGTAAAGGACCTATTTGCAGAAAACTACAGGACATTGAAAAATAAAATAGAGGAAGATATAAAAAAAGTAGAAGCACATACCTTGTTCATGGATTGGAAGAATTAACATCATTAAAATGTCCATACTAGCCCTGGCCGGTTTGGCTCAATGGTTAGAGCGTCGGCCTGCGGTTCAGAGAGACCCAGGTTCAGTTCCCACTAAGGGCACATACCTCAGTTGCAGTTTGTCCCCGGCCCTGGTTGGTCGGGTGAGTGGCAGCCACTCGATATGTCCCTTTCACGTCAATGTTTCTCTCTCTCTCTCCCTCCCACTCTATCTGAACAACAACAACAACAAAAAAAAGTGGAAAAATGTCGGGTGAGGATAGAAAAAAAAATGTCCATACTACCCAAAGCAATCTATAGATTCAGTGCAATCCCCATCAAAATACGAATGACATATTTGCCAGAACTAGAACAAATACTTCAAAAGTTCATATGGAACCAAAAAAGACCCCGAATAGCCACAGCAATCTTGAAAAAGGACAAAGTAGGTGGGATCACAATACCGGATATCAGGTTATGCTACAAAGTTACTGTAATCAAAACAGCCTGGTACTGGCACAAAAACAGACATACAGACAAATGGAACAGAACAGAGAACCCAGAAATGGACCCAAGACATTATGCTCAATTAATATTTGACAAAGGAGGTAAGAGCATACAATGGAATAAAGACAGCCTCTTTAATAAATGATGTTGGGAAAATTGGACATCTACATGCAAAAAAATGAAACTAGACCAGCAATATACACAAAAATAAACTCAAAATGGATAAAAGACTTAAATGTGACCCACGAATCCATAAAAATCCTAGAAGAAAATGTAGGCAACAAAATTTCGGACATCATACGCAGCAGAATTTTCACTGATACATCACCTAAGGCAACAAAAAAAAAAAGGAAAAAAATGAACACATGGGACTACATCTAACTAAAAAGCTTCTGTACAGCAAAAGATATAATCATCAAAATGGAAAAGCAACCCACTGTATGGGAGAGCATAATTGCCAATGATATATCAGATAAGGGGTTAATTTCCAAAATATATAGAGTACTCATACAACTCAACAAAAGGAAGACAAAGAACCCAATTAAAAAATGGGCAGAGGAGCTGAATAGACACCTCTCCAAACAGGACATACAAATGGCCAAAAGACATATGAAGAAATGCTCAACATCACTAATCATCAGAGAGATGCAAATTAAAACAACAATGGTGCCCTGGCCAGTTTGGCTCAGCGGTTGGAGCGTCGGCCTGTGGACCAGAGAGTCCAGGGTTCAGTTCTCGCTAGGGGCACGTACCATAATAAATAAATAAATAAATAAATAAATAAATAAATAAATAAATAAATAAATAAATAAAAACAATGCCCTGGCCGGTTTGACTCAGCGTTTAGAGCCTCCGCCCGCAGTCCAGAGAGACCTGGGTTCGGTTCCCGCTAAGGGCACGTACCTCAGCTGCAGTTTGCCCCTGGCCCCAGTTGGGGTTGTGCAGGAAGTGGCCACTCAATGTGTCCCTTTTACATCGATGTTTCTCTTCTCTCTCTCTTTCTCTCTCTCTCTCTCTCCCCCTACCACTCTATCTGAACAAAAATGGAAAAATGTCCTTGGGTGAGGATAAAAACAACAACAACAACAACAACAACAACAATGAGGTATCACCTCACACCTGTCAGAATGGCCGCCATCAACAAAGCATCAAACAACAAGCCTTGGCGAGGGTGTGGAGAAAAGGGGACTCTAGTACACTGCTGGTGGGAATGCAGACTGGTGCAGCCACTATGGAAAACAATATGGTGTTACCTCAAAAAATTAAAAATTGAACTGCCATTTAACCCAGGGATCCCACTTCTAGGAATATACCCTAAGAAACCTGAAACACCAATCAGAAAGAATATATGTACCCCCATTTTTATAGCAGCACTATTTACAATAGCTAAGATCTGGAAATAGCCCAAGTGTCCATCAGTAGATGAATGGATAAAAAAGCTGTGGTACAAATACACAATAGAGTACTATGCAGCTGTAAGAAAGAAAGATCTCTTATCCTTTGAGATGAATGGAGGGACCTGGAGAGTATTATCCTCAGTGAAACAAGCCAAGCAGAGAAAGACAAATATCATATGATCTTACTTATTTGTAGAATATAATAAACATAACAGTCTGAGGAATTGGGTAGACCCAGAGACATGGAAGTAGGGTACAGATTGACAACCCTCAGAAGAGGGGTGGTGGGGGGAGGGAAGAGATAAACCACAGAACTTATATGCATGTACATATAATCGATGGACCCGGATAACAAAGCTGGTTATGGGATGGGGGTTGGAGAGGAGGGTGTCAATGGGGAAAAAAAAGAAGAAACATCTGTAACAAAAATAAATTAATAAAAAATTTAAGAAAAAATAAAAAGAAATCTAAAGCTATGGATATACAATGTTCTGCAGTGCAAGAGATGATGCTACACAAGGAAAAACTGCCCCACAAAACACTATTTCTGAATGTCCTACTAAACATTCAAGGGAGTTAAAAACCTGTTTATGATCACCTGAGTCTAAAATCTAACTTTTTTTTTCTAGTTAACCCTCACCTGAGGATATTTTTCCATTGACTTTTTAAGGGACAGGGAAGAAAGAGAGAGAGAGAGAGAGAATCATCAATGTGAAAGAGAGAATTCACTTGGCTGCCACCAGCACGATCCTGACCAAAACCTGCAACCCAGGTAGGTGCCCTTGACCAGGAATCGAACCCTCCACCCTTCAGTACACAGGTCAAAGCTCTAACCACTGAGTCAAACTGGCCAGGGCTAGAACCTAAGTAGAAGTTGTTCATATATACATGTATTCACATACATATGCCTGCCCCTGATTCCTGGCAAAGAGTTCCTAAAAGCCTTGTAAATTCCTAGTAAGAACACTAGGAGCATCTTTTGTTCTGATGAGGTAACTATGGAGGCTGGTCACCAGAAAGACCTAGCCATGATTAGAAGCTTGGAATTTTCAGCCCCACCTGCCCATTCTCTAGAGAGGGGAAAGAGGCTAGAAGTGGAGTTAACTGTCCGGCCAGTGTGGCTCATTTGCTAAGTGTTGATCCATGCACCAGGAGGTCACCAGTTTGATTCCCAGTCAAGACACATGCCCAGATTGTGGACCCAATCCCCACTGGGGGCATGCAGAAAGTGGCCAATTGATGTTCTCTCTCATCGATGTTTCTATCTCTCTCCCTCTCACTTCCTCTCTCTCTAAAATCAATAAATTAAAAAAAAAAATGTAGTTAACTGATTGTGCCCACATGAGACAGAAAAATCCCAATAGTAGGAGGTTCAGAGAGACTTCTGGTTGGGGAAAACATCTACGTACTGGGAGGGCATCAACTCCAACTCCACGTAGACGGAGGCTCTGCACCTCAGGACCCTCCCAACCCTCACCTAATGTATCTCTTCATCTGGCTGTTCATCTGTATCCTTGATCATATCCTTCAACAGACTGGTAAACATAAGCACTTTCCAGGTCACAGGAACCTCTCTGATTTGTAGCCAAGTCAAGCAGAAGTTGAGGGTATCCTGGGGACCTGCTACTGCAAATGGTATTTAAGTGGGAGGCAGTCTCATGGGAATGAGACCCTA